TTTTGTTTTGCATAACAAATAACCCATTTAGTATTCTTTTTTTTCCGAGCTAAAGCATCCTTTGTGAGTTGTTGGGAATGCAAGCAAGAATACACCCCTTCAACAATTTTTTTCTGAGCTGCAGAAATATTTCTTTTATTGTATACAGTTTCAACATAAGAAAAATAATCCCCTTTATCAGTTTTATCCAAGTAGTGAAAATAAAATGCAATAAGAGCATCCCACAGATCTTTGATTCTTTCTAAAACACATAAAATGTACACCCACCTATGGTCTGGTCTCTTCAAGGGCTTAAGTTTTTTAATGGCAAGGGATTCACAGATTTTGAAAAAATTTTCTCTTTTACTGCAGCTTTTCATATCAAAATAGATGTCATCAAACAAATCTTCTAAGTATCTATCAAAACATGAAGCAATTTTTTTTTGCACAGTTATTAGCTGTGTGACATGTGTCACCATCAATATCTAATAAGTGGGGTGCTTTGTTTGATCGTAGTCTGGTTTCAACACCCTTTTTTTTTTTTTTTTTTTTTTTTTTTTTTTTTCCACGCATGGTGTTACATGAGTCCATTAATACACTAATTAAGTTTGCCCATGGAATATTATTATCTTCAATAGTATTAACAACTGCTTTAAAAACAGCTTCTGAATTGCAAGATTCCATCTTTAGAGATGCAAAATGATGAACTACAACTTCATTTTGATTGTTGTCATAAAACTGCACCAATATTGCCAGTATACTTTCTTGAGCATTGCTAGTACTTTCATCCAAATTTAGAGAAAATGGAGTCTCCTTTAAAGTTTTAATGATATTTTCCTTAATAGTTTTTGCGAGCCCATATTTCATCTTATAACATGCAGTAGTCCTGGACATTTCCAACGAGTTTAGTGCCGTCTGATCGCGGCTCAACTGTTTGCAGAGTTCAATTAAATTGGGAGCTACATTGAAAGAAAGAGAATTCTCGGCGATAAACGAAGTTATTAATACCTCTTGGCGTGCTTTTCTTGTCACTATATCCAATGGCCGAGCATCAGTCTCCAGTAAGTCATCAGTATTTTTTGAATTAGCATAATTACTTAAAGTCATTGAATGTCTAATGCACTTTGAATATTTTATGTGCGTCACAGTTTTAGAATGATTTGTGAAAGCCTTGAATCCTTCCCCACCATACTTCAGCAGTGAGTTACAAAAAACACAATATGCTTGTCCAGCAACATTTATTTTCTTGCACCATGTGCCGATGGTATCCCCATTACCATCTCTCCGTTCAATCCAATTCCACCTAAATGCATTCCGGACACCTTCTTCTAATTGTATAATATCACTATTTATATCGAGAAATTTCATAGTGAAATTCTCTTGCGTACATAAATAAAAAAATATTTCAATAAACGAAACGAAAAATTTACACGTGCATCAATAAATGAAACGAAAATTTTACACAGCGGAGAAAAAAAAGTTGAGAAGCGATCAATGACAAATAGCTAATACGGCGAAAAATCCCCTTCTCTACTTATTGGCGCCACGCCAGGAGAGATAAGACCTTTGAACCCAGAGTCACGTGATCGCACATCTGGTCGAACGAAGTCTCTCCCTTTTTTTTCTGCCGCGCCTACTTGCCGAAAAGAATCCAGAAGAGAATGTCCGAGAACCGGGGGAATGAGTCATAACTCGCAATAAGGAAAGAACAAAAAAGAAGTTTTTTCCCCCCTTTTCACGCATTATCACTGCCTTTGGAGAAAGAAAGGAAAAGTTTTCACCACACACACTGACCTTGCGTTTTCTGCTTTCAAAGCAAACAAAATTACCCAGATCAAAATAAATAATTCATTATTATTCCTACTTCCTTTTGAACGACGATCCCCGAAGTTCAAAATCCCCGGAATTCCGTGGTTTCCCCGGAGCACAAACACCCCTGAAATTTTGAAGGTAATTAGACCTTCAATACTGTATTTATAACTGAGCTGTTTCTTAGAATTCCTTTATTTGAATCCCAGTATGAAAACATTTGGGATTCAAAAACAGGAATTCTTATTAAATAGCTTTAAAGTTATATAAAACTATTTTTACCAATATCTATTTCATCTGAATTCTACCTTCCACTTCATTTGAATTTCAAATTCCTCACCCAATGAACAAGTATCTAAACAGCAATAAGGTCTCTTTTTAGGAGCTCTCATATCTCCACAGCAAAAATATACATGCAGCACATTCAGAATTTTGTTTTTAATAACCATTTCAGTAATCCTGTTCTGGGGATTTTTAAAACATTTGATCATACATTTTGGATACCATCTCTGACCTGCAATTTACTGGCAGTACAACAAAGAAGGGGGGACATTAAAAAAAACAGTTAATATAAGTAAAAGGAGGAGCTTTTGCAGATGACCAGCTCCAGCTGATAGATATCTGTGAAAGCTCCTATATTTACTTAGGTTTAAGCCAGGGTTAAAGAGAAGGGCTAGGTCATTCCTTTGAGTGATCCCTTGTAATGTGATCCTTGAAGGGGGAGTTAACAGGAAGTAGTCTGACATCGCAATGTTGCATCAACTCTGTCTGTTTAAAAGCGTAGCTTCATTCTGCTGTGAAGTGATAGTCTAGCAATATGGACATCCCAAATTAATTTTTGACAACATGTATTTGTTTTCTAGTAAAGCAGTGACAAAGTCAAACTGGCGGGCCTCGGAGTAATTTTATGCAACCCATGAATACATTTCCCATAAATTAATTAGAATTATTATGACAAGAATGTGAAGAAAACATTTAAGATTTTAATGTTTTCAAGTCCAGTTTTACATTATATTCATTACCAAATACAAACATGAGTAAATCTTCAAAAAATCTAAAAATGGAGTAATTAATGTACACCGTGATATAAATCTTATTGAAAGATCCGAAGATACAAATTTGTTTAATTTTTATTAGCACTTGCCAAAAGATAAATATCATCAGTTATGAATTTTTGGAATAAGAATATTCACTTTGTTTTTGAGTACATTTAAATGAGAACAGTTCCCCCTCCCCCCTTTTTTTTTTGGAGAGGGGGTTTATTTGAAAATTAATAGATCTACAAAAAGAACGAAACAGCCAATGAGTATCTACTGTTTATGATTATACTTTCTAGTAATTTCCCTCCAAGATTAAAAACTTCATGAAAATCAAAACATCATGTGGTGGAGTAGCTGAAAGGTGTAGTAAAAAACAAAGATGTTTACAATATTTTACACACAAATATTATTTTTTCTGTATGCGTCACTGAAAAATCTAACAAGTAAAAGAAAGAGAATAGGTTGTCATTATTCTCAAGTTTTGTCCCTTTTGGGAAGCATTCATATATTTCTTTTTAGTTTAAATTAAAAGCAAGTTATTTAGTAGTTAATTCAGTACATTACAATTAGTTGAATAAATGCCAACCTGAAAATTTTAATATTTTGCTGTAAAATTTTAATGTTTAGCTGTCTGTTTGAATTATAAATTGTGACCAACAGAAATTTCTTGCAGATACCAACTTTCAGGGTTTTTTTATTATATATATATATGTGTGTGTGTGTGTGTGTGTGTGTGTGTGTGTGTGTGTGTGTGTGTGTGTAATTACTGCTTGTCAGCTAATTTCAAATTATGCACGGAACCATGTGCAATGTAAGTTTAAGACCCCTGTTGTAAAGTATTGTTTATGTAATATATCTTCTTGCATTATAGCAAAGTGCCATAAAATTCATGGAAATGAGAAAGGAATATTATATTTCATATTTATACAAAGACCAATTCATATTTGGCAAAAAAATGGACATATGTTGAAGACTGGGTTCTACTAATGGGAAAAATGCAAGAATTTGAGTCAACATTTTCTATGCAGTGATTGCGAAGATGGCATGAAAATTTATTTGCTTGGATTGCCACAAAAAATCCAATACTGTGAAAGCTGTTATTATGATTACCTTAGAAACAGTAATAGAATTCTCCCACTTAGTATGCAGATAAAGAAAAGATAATGAATGCCACAGCTTTTTTCTTCATGGTTTAATAATAAATGCACAGGGTTTAAAAAAAACCCGCAACTTTTAAGAAAATGGAACTGTAGCCTATTTTATCTATTCTTTCAAAATTAATAAATAAGTATTATTGACTTTTTAAGCATTATAAATTATTTTAAGTGTTATACAGTAATAACACCTTATCTTCTAAATTATAGCTATTTCTTCACACGCAGTTTTTTTAAGGCTATTTTTTTTTAAATTTAAAACATAAATTTCTTTGCTACGAATTGCATCTTTGACGCCAGTTTCAACATGATTACATCATCGCTCTAGGGAAGAAAAGCTCTATGAATTAGCCCTTCTCTTCTAGTTCATGGGTTTAAACTTGGTTTGAACATTTCAATCTAGAACATTTTATCTCATTTTATTTCAATTTTCACAAGCTAGCGAACACAAATGCAGTATGATTCATATTACACTGCAACTTAATTGCCAAATGATAATCTTTGATAACAAGCATTTTTGAAGAAATTTGTTTCCAGCTTTTAACAGCTGACTAACAGCAGCACCATTTTTATCTCATAATTATTATCATCTCTCACTTGCAAACTATTACGTTATACATTTAAGCTGGCTATGAAAATACTGACTATGGTAATATAGTGCTTTATGGTAAATAGCAAGTGTTCTGCATTAAACAGAGCAGAAAGTTTAAATTAAAAGTATATAGTACCATCATTCTTCTCATGCGATCTTTTCTTAAAGCTAGTTGTTCTTGCATTTCCAATTTAATATGTTGAAATTCTTTTTCTTGCTCAGAAAGAATTTTACCTTTGATGCTCATCTACAAAGAAATTCCATTCAAATTTTTTAATACAGTAAAAATATTAAAAATGAATGATGATTTTATGATTTTTTTTTAACTTGAAATTTTTTAAAACAATCCTGGTTCAATAAATACAGTAATGAAATTTAGATTTTGAAAGAAATTTATTGTTAACATTCATTTTATAAAAATCTTATGTGCATCTACAAACATTAATTAAGAAAATTAATAGAATAATTAAGCATTATTGCACCCTTCAGAAAATACACAATTATATGTACATGTTTTTATTAAATATATTTGAAAATTTTCATCACAGCTCTGTTAAGAACACACTTCCATTTTACTTCCTGAAAGGCAAATTATTAATTAGTTCAGAAATAAACTTAAAAACGTTAATTGTAAATATCAAGATAAGAAGTAGAACATGAAAAAGAACATAAAATCAACATCTTGAAAATATTATTAAAAAATGCAAAAACAATTTTAAAAAACCTGAAATTTTGTAGCTTCTATTTCATTTTTGGCATCTGATAGTTGTTTCTGTAACATTTCTAGAGTCTGTTCTGATGCAGAAAGTTTTCTTTCCAAGTATCTAACTTGTTGTTCATGAGTATTCAAACCCGCTTGTAAAATAGTTTTCTCCTACAAAAATTCATCAACGACAATGTACATACTGAATGCATATAAAAAACTGATTCTAATATAAAGTTTGAATGCATACCTTTTTTAGTTGGATTTTTTTTTTTTTTTTTTTTTTTTTTTTTTTTTTTTTTTTTTTTTTTTTTTTTTTTTTTTTTTTGTTTGTTTGTCTATAACCATTAAATTCTTTCTGAAATGTTCCTCTAATAGAGAAAGGGAAAATCAGTTTTGATGAGCATGATAGAAAAAAAAATTACTATTTTTAGCTTCTATTCATTATAAAAACATTCACATATGTGAAATTCTTACGACTTTGAATTAAGTCTTGAACAAAAGAATTTCTACGTGCCATTCTATTCGTGAGGAATTCGATCAAGTTTATGCAAACTTATTCATCATCAGAAGAATAAACCTAGAGAGAAATATTCCTAGGTTTAGAAAACAAAAGCGTAAAAATGAAAATAATTTAACCTCTTTTTAATCCAGTATTATATATGAGGTTGTAATTCTCTTTATGCAGCACTACCTTCACAGCTCATTACAAATTACATCAATGAAAATTCCATGTATGTAATAAGTTTACTATTTTCCTTTGTTTAAGTTAGAAATCATACAAACCAGAAATTTATAATATCTTACATATGGCATTGATCATGCAATTATAAATAGCAGTTAATAATGTTTCAAAGATTTAACAAAAAATTTTGAAATCATTACTTTTACACAAAGATCACTAATTCAAATCACTTTCACACTATCAGGACAAATTCAAATAAATAACAAAAATTACTTGCATACAGAACACATAAGTTGTAATCACACATATAATGATAAGAAAATTAACTTAAGTGGATTTGTAGTTGGTGTATTTTCATACATTTGAAGCATACCAAAAATTAAACAAAAATTTTAGATCACGTTGAATGTATTCTTTACATTTATGTTGAAAAATATGTTCATATTTTTACTAATGAATATTTTTTAATTAATAATTAAATACTATTTTAAATGCAATAATGATGTGGGCTGAATCAATTATAAATGTTATAGTTAAATCAATATTAAATTGTACATATAGCTCATGACAATTTTATCAAGCAGTCAGACCCTTTACCCATCATTGTTAGGGCCTGAAAGCTCAAAAAGGATAAATGCCAGTGATTTATAGATAATAATTTAAGTATTAAAAATTCAGAACTGGCCCAATTTTAAAGGAAGTTTTTACGGAATTTGTCAGAATTAAAATGCAGTATTTAAAGAGCAATACTGAAGAAGTTTATACCCTTTTGCACCATGTAAAATATAGTGATTAATACAGTTTACTAAAATAAATATTTGCAATGAGCTGGGAGAAGCTCCTGACCCATACAACTGGCACCAAAACTTCAGATTCTAGAACTGGAACACAATTTACATTGCAATAACATTAGTTCGATGTCAAGGCTGTTATCACATTAATGTAGATTTTTCTGCTTATATATATATATATATTTATTGTATGATCTTAAAATTCACTTAGTTCGAAAACAAATTATTCTAATACTTGCACAATAGCTGAAATATTTGCGTTCGAAAACAAGTTATTCTAATATTTGCGCAAAACATTTTTAACAATTTACATTCAAGTTACTTTAAAACAATTTTCGGAATTAAACTTCCTACCTCTGAGTTCACTCTTTTTAGATACTTCTACTAAAATTAATATTAGGAGATAATATAATCAATATTTCTTTAGTAAAATAAATTATATATATATACATATACACAAAAGTAAGAAATTTAGAGGCAACTCTGTAATTCTCCAAATTCAAAAGCAGTAAATTTTTAAATTCCCCAACAATATTTAAATAAACCAACCAAAGGTCAGAAGAATTTAAGAAATGTGAAAAAACCACAAAATAATAATAATAATAATACAAAAAAAAAAAAAAAAAGGAATAGGAATTCAATTAAGACTACATTCGACACCCAAATTTTGGAAAATAGAACAAATAAATCTATTATTGATGTTCTTTAGCAGAATACTGCATGAAATGGTAAAAACTGGTAATAAATATATTATCAAAGTATAATTTTTGTTTTTTTCTTACATTGTGGGTTTGAAATATGTTAAATTTCAGAATTACTAGATATGTTCCTACAAACTAGAAAATGTTACTTTCATATTTTTTCCTTATATTTATTTACGTGAACTAAAATCCCAGTGATAAAGTAAAATATCTATTAAATATACCTGTCTAGTTATTTTTTCATTTATGCATTAGTTATTTTTTTGAAGAATTTCTCTCCTTTCATTTACAAAATTTACTGAAGAAATTTTAGATATGTACATAAACCTAACTTTTAGCTCATTTAATTCACAATATTTCACAGAATATTAGCAAAAAGTTTCATAAAATTACTATGGTAATATTTTAAGCTAATTTTTTTTTTTTGTAACAGAAAATTTGAAAAAAAAAAATCAAGTTTTTCAAAAAAAAAAATAGGTTTCATGCAATGCAAACACAAACAGAAGGAAAGGGAAATACTGCCAAGTACGGTGCGTATTTTTTTTTTTTTTTTTTTTTTTTTTTTTTTTTTTTTTTTTTTTTTTTGGTGTATTCAGAATACGGCAAAGCACACTAGGGCTATCTGCCTAAGGGGAGGGATGCTTTTGTGGAGGACTTTCTAAGGGAAACTGGCTCGCATACACGTTACACATGGGGAAAACCACAAAAACGTCCATGCAGCCAGCCCGTTCGCGGGATTCGAACCTCGGACCGAACTACCAGTGTTCAGCGTGGGACCTACTGCCAAGTATGAAAATTAAATTCGAAACTAAACATGTTCACTTAATAACAAATAGAAAGGTTCAAATTCATCTTCTGAATATCACCAAAAGTATTCAAATGAAAAATTCTCATTTTAAAGCTATTTAGAGCAGTCTGGATACCTTTAGACATCAAGTTTGGGATTCTTAAACAGAAACTTCCGGGTCATGGCATAGAACAAGAACAGGCATAATTCTGTTTCTAATGGCCGAAGAGACAAAATAAAATACTTTTAGATGTATAGGCTTTAAAATAAAGTAATAAAAAATTTTTTGAAAAATTTCATTAAAATTGACGACTAGAACAATGTCGCATACCTTAAATCTGATTCAACGTTATTGTAATGAAATAGATCACACTCAGTTTAAACCCTCTTCCCAATGGGAAAACACTGCGTTTCCGTTCATCCAAAATCTGCTTATCAATCACTTTTGCGGCACAGTGTGTCCGGTCTGGACACACCTAAAAATTTCCTTCTGTATGCACAGAAAAATTGAATGAAAAAGGATTTATAGGTTACTATAGGTTACCCTGAACTTTCTTTATTTATAGTAGATGGCAGCTCAACACAAACCAGTCCATATATTTTAGCCATGTTCAGTTTTTTAAAACCCTCATTTTCCAAAGAAATCTTCCAGATTTTTTTAAGGTATAAAAAAATTGTTTGAAAAGAAATTTCTATGTTATTTTTTTGGCTGTATGCTAATCTCCTTATTCTATATTAGTTTTAAATTTTTACCTTGAAATCTTGCCTAAAATCAAACGGCGAACCCTAGGTGCGCCCAGACCGGGCTCACCGATAATCTAGAACAACTGAGAGTCTGCATTCTTTGTTTCTCCGCATCTCATCGGTCAGTTCATTGACAACAATACTCATTTCGGCACTCTTTTCTAAGCTCAATTCAATCAGTGTGCCCAAAATGACACACCCACAGAATTAAAAAGATGCATGTATCTTTATAAAATTTTACTTGTGTACTCCTCTAGGCCTAATTAGACTGCCTACCTTTTTCTTTTTTTTTTTTTTTTTTTTTTTTTCAATCAAAACTCCAACTTTAAAAGTTAGCGTGCCGGAAAGGGTTAATTATCACAGTTCACTCGAAAATTTTAAATTGTAACACAAACATCTCTAAAAAAGTAATAGAAAATACAATTTCAATCAAATTACCAGAATTAAAAAAGTTTGCACACAGACTGAACAACAACAGGTTAAAATTTTACAAGAAAATTAAATTTCAATTAACTTCATTAACAGACCTTTAAGAAAAGCTGGAGTAGTCTACACCCTATAAAATTTTTTCAAGGTCTAAATATTTTATCTGAAAGCTCAAACTGAGAAGAATAAAGAAGGTTAGGTTATTTAATTACGGCAAAGCCTCAAGGGCTATCTGGCTAAGGGAAGGGATACCTTCATGGAGGACTTTTTAAGGGTAACTGGCTCAAATAAAGAAGGATATTTTAAGGAATTTTATAGTTTTTCATTATAAATATTTGTATTTCTGTGCAATTTTTCTTGACATTACTTTTAACAACAGAGGATCTACTCTATTCTAAGTCATCATGATAAGCCCATAATGGGAATACTTTATTTTTTTCTAACCTTTCTTTTCTTTCACTACTTTAAAAAAATTTGAAACTTTACTCATCCTACTTTAAACTCATTCTACTTTAAAAAAAATTGAAAATTTCTTTTAAGTGTTTAATTCATAGTTTGGAAGATTTCAAACTTGCCATCACCAATGAAGCCAAATTGGCACCCCTAAGCATCTATTTCTGAATCTTACTCTTCTAGTTTTTTTTTCATAGTGAATGTTCTGACTTCATTGCACTCTGTTAATTTCGAAGTTATTTATTATTGCTCCATTTTAAATTTCAATCTTAAATTCAGTGAAACTACTTAATTTCTTTCTTTTTTTTTTTTTTTTTTTTTTTTTTTTTTTTTTTTTTATTAGTGACTAAAGTTAGTTCTTACATATGACATATGAATGTATTTTATATATTTCTTTAACAGATTGCCTCAGTGTCAACTGAGTAAGTTATGATTTCAAAGTTCCTAAATATTTTCATATTTCAACATTTTAATTTCAATCTTAAATTTGGTAAAAAGTATCTATTAATTTCTTTTACTTTATTTAACTTTGGAATTTTTACATATGGGTTTCTTTGGGTACATCTCTATAACGGACCGCATTGCATCAAGGAGGAGTTCAAAATTTTGGAGTGAACTGTATAATTTAAATAACTTAGAATGGCTCATCAGCTAATTTTGAATGAATAGAAATGCAGTGGTTTTTCCAATGGGAAGAGGGTTTAATTGAGTGTGATCTACTTCCTCTTGATAACGTTGAATCAGATTTAAATGAATTTCTCTTCCAACAGTTTTGTATTTTTGCCGTTTGTTTTTCATATTTCTTCAATTCTTCTGACCGTTGGTTGATTTATTTATATATTTTGGGCTTATTTTAAAATTTTCTGGTTTTGAATTTCATTTCTTTGAGGTCTGTGGATTTGTTTCTAATTTTTTTTTTTTTTTTTTTTTTTTTTTTTGTCTACAACTGTTTAATTTTCAGCAGCATATTGTGTAGGAATAAGATTGGGATAGTTTTTTTGTTTTAAAATAAAAATTTTTGATACTAGATATATATATATTGATAATTAAATTTAAGTAAATAAGATAGATAAACTTCATATTTTTAAAATTTTATTTTATATCTATAAGAGTAAAAATCTAAGAAAATAATTAATTCATTGAAAGAAAAAATAATTCAAAACACATTCTACAGATTTTATAAAATAAATCACTTAGAACAAAAATGAAAACAAAAACTATACCTATCTATGGAGAAAAAAGTAAAGAATAGAATCACCAAATAAAGAAGTTAGCATGAAAAGAAAAAAAAAAAAGATGTATGATTTGATTCAAAATGTTACTTTTACACTTAACTATGAATACTTGTTTTCTGTATTGAATATACTCCAGAAACATATATTAAAAAAAGCACATAGTGCATAATTTGATAAATTTAAAGTAATGAGATATTTGAGATAAATATGACAGAATTAAGAGGAATACAAAATAAAACCTGTGTCATTCATTTTTGCAATTGGTTACTACTTTTATTTTATTGGAAATTTGAAATAACAACATGAGTTATATATAGCATGCACTTTATTTTACATATTTAGAGCAACAACTGTTATGTATACTGTGATACGTGACAAGTGACTGTGTGATTATGTACTTACAGCAGCAGCTCCATTTTGCTACCATATATTTTACATTTATACTAATCAGAATATATTTGTTGATGACGAGCAAATTAAAATACAAGCCAGTTTTACCAACAGACAATAAGTAGCCTAGAAGGCAAATGCTAATATTTAAAAAATATACAGCTAATCTTGTTCGAAGTTCCTGTACTGCTGTATTAAATTGTTATATTATACATATTTTGTTAACTTTCTTATAATATGTAAACACATAAGGAAGGCATACATAATGGCAAATTATTCTTTTAATGTTCTTATTCAACTTTTCATATATTTAATTCTGAATATATTTTCGAAATATTTCAATTCATGCATATCAATTATGGCATTACAATCCAGATTCTTTTAAAGCAATGACATGGCTTAAAAGACTATGCAATGCTAATTTTGGTATTTTATATAAGGGGTGTTCAAATGAAATGGTATGAAACATTGTAATAACTAAACTAGTTGAAATTTGAATATGCCACTTTGGCATTTTGTAGTGAGACATCTAAGGACGCGAATTCAGTATCCGACATAGTTGCGCGCATGCCCAAGCACCGCACCTGACGCCAGAGTGGAGTAGGCAGTTGTGTGTTCTATCCAATTGATGCAGCAGTGTGTATGATGACAACTTGGCATTCACAATGCAAAATTCGACGACTGAGGAGCAGCGAGATGTTATCAGATATCTAACTGGAGAAGGGGTTAAACCGGCTGATATTCATCATCAGATAGTGGCCGTATATGGAGCAGAACTGGCACTCAACTTCCTTTCTGATTTGTTGGACACACAAACTGATACATATAGAGCCACCATCCGGCAATAAATATAAGCCGGTTTAACCTCTTTCACAGTCAAAAATCTGATGACATCTCGCTACTTCTCAATCACAGAATTTTGCATTAGGAATGCCAAGATGTCATCACATGAACTGCCGCATTATTTGGACGGAACACACAACTGCCTATTTCACTCCAAGAACATGTGTGGCGGCTTGCGCGCAACCATGTCAAATACTGCATTCATGTCCTTAGATGTCTCACTACATTATGCCAAAGCAGCATATTCAAATTTCAACTGGTTTAATTGTTATGACATTTCATAACTTTTCATTTGAACACCTCTTGTAGTTAACATAGGATTAGTTTTACCTTCTTGTTCTTAGTGATTCAGATTATTGATGCATTTGTAAAACTCAGACGTAATAAAATATTAGTATTCCATTAGATATTTTAAATTTTTTACCTTTGGCTAATTTTATTTTCTAATTTTCTTAGACTTTTTACATAGAAACTTTCGAATAGAGAAGAAAAGCTTTAATTAAGTACTTTTAAATATGATGAAAATAAAATGAATATTACTGTGAATGATATTTATCTGGATAAACTTAGTAATGTAACATATAATGAAACAAATAAATATTAACAGATTAAACATTGGTTGAATCTTCGGATTATGGTAACTTGGCGAATTTTTGGCGACCAACCCTGCTACAGCAATCTGCTAGTTTTTTTTTTTTTTTTTTTTTTTTTTTTTTTTTTTTTTTTTTTTGACGCCATTTTGTTTTCACGAAGTAAAGGCATGTTTTTTTTTTTTTTTTTCCAACATTTTTTTCCAACAATCTGCTAGCCGATAGGCGATAAGGCGATAAAGGTTACTAGCTAGGACTTTAGCAGTGTGCATGGATAAAGTCAAGAGTGTGTGCAATGCCATTTTTATGCAATTCTGGGATTTTTTTAAGTGAGAATAGGTCGACGTGCACATGGATACCGTGTATGTGCAATTCTTAAAAACGCGGCAAGCAGTGGGCGATTCTGCACTTTCTCCCAATTTCGCATCTAATCTTCGTAATGATTAAGCACTTTTGTTTCATAAAAGTTCTAGCATAAGCGTAATTCGGCTAGCAGATTGTTGGGGAAAATGTTGAGTAAAAAAAAAATAAATACCTGTACTTCATGAAAACAAAATAGCGTCCAAAAAAAACTAGCAGGGTTGGTCGCCAAATTTTCGCCAAGTTACCATAATCCGAAGATTAACCAATAAATGTAATAACTTATTTGCTAATTTTAAAATAAATGTAATAACTCCTTTGCGTTTGCTAAGAAGAATCAAAAACTATACTTCATAAAGTATCTATTATCTTGTTTATTTTGGAGATTCAAAATGTTCCTAAGTCACTAAAATAGAAAGGAATGTCGCTTTATAATATGACAAGGGAAAATAAAAACGTTTTATTTTAATGTTATTCCTTAAATATAATTTGGTACTTACAAATTATCCTATCGACTGACCAATTACAGTCGAAAGTCGTTAATCCGGACTCGTCGGGACTTCGGCGATTCCGGATTATAGATCATCAGTTTAAATCTCGTAAGATGGCATGCAGAAATTCTAAAATTAAAAATATGAAACCGTAATTTATGAAATAAAGAACAATTATGATCTAAAGGGTATCAAAATTTGCAAAAAGAAAAGGCTTAATATTTATTTGTTTTACTTTATTAAACATTTCTTTCAATGTAAGTTGTTTAAGTTTTGCTTCGTTTCATGTGATAATACTTTCTCTTTAATTCTATTAAACAGACACATAATTTCTTGTTCAGTTACAAAGTTCCGCCGTTCAAGTCGTATAATTGCTGTGTCAAGAACACCGACTAATTTGTCAATCGAAAATTTTTTTGTTTTCAATAACTCTGTCACTTTTCTTCGCTATCGAAAGCGAATTATAATGACGAGGAACTTGTTTTAAATCATATCAAAGACGGAGCATATCGAGATGAAATACTACATTTGGTAAGGAATTATAAGCCAAATAAAATAAAAACATCTGCGCTGAAGATAAGGATAGTGCTGACAAATCAACTTCCAATTCATTAGGCGCCCGCCGCCGAGCAGCGTGAAATTGATAAACAGATTTCGGATTTCAAAACATACTTTCGCTTTAGAATCCTTTACATATTAAAAATTATATCGGAAATTCTATTTGATATAATCGAAAGTTTAAGCTTACTTTTATAAAATTGCTCTTACAGTCTGCAAAAAATAATAAGCCGGATGCAATTCGAAAATTGAGGAACAACGCAATCATCAACATTAACTGAAGATAATAGATTAAGATAGATTTTATTTTAGCTTATACGTCCATTATACATAAAATGCGCACGCGAAAAACGTATTCTGCACTTGCGCACACTCATATGCGCAGTCGTAAAAGGCCTTACGCGCACGCGTGAACGCCTCTGCGCATGTGTCAACCGTGGCGCATGCGCAGAAAGTTTTTAGTTTGATGTCCGGATTATAGATCATTCCGAATTATGGGTGTCCGAATTAACGACTTTTGACTGTAGTAAGATTTAGTGCCAATTATGGATGACCATGTCTTTTAGAATTCTGAGTAACAACTGGTGACCATTGCCAAAATTTCTGCCAACAGTCAATGGGCTAATACGTAAGTAGTTAAAATTTTAATATATTATTATTTTAATGATATTGGTACTTTTTCAATATACAACTGCCATGCCTTTTCACGTTTGTAAAAAAGAAGCCAAACACATGTTGAGACACAAGGTTAACACCATCTGTCCCCAGATATCTGATGTGTATAAACTGATCTTAAAATTGACAAAATATTGACAAGCTCATTTAGTACCATTTAATAAAAAGAATTCATATCACAAAACAAGAAAAATTGTCTTTGAAATAATATTTTATGAATTCTTGATTTGCAAAAAAGAAATAATTTCAAAATGCTTATGTGGTTGATCTTTACAATATGGTAACTGGTAGTTTGGCGACATTTTGGAGGCGATAAAGGTTACTACCTGGGACTTTGGTAATAATGTGAGCAATACTCAGTTCCGATTACGCATTATTTTGCGTGAGGAAAATGAGAGATCATGGGATATGTCATGTGATATTAATGGACGAATTACGGTTCTTTAATCGGAAAAGGGGGGAAATCGGGAAAAAATGTGGAAATTTTGTATTTAGCTTTATTCTGTGTTGTGTGAAACAGTGTTGTTTAAGTTTTGGATCCCACGGCCCTAACTAAAGTGAATTCGAAATGGGTATTTAGGCATTGTGATAAAGAGAAGTTGCTTTTTATTTAGCGGAGGAAGTAGGGAGGAAAAATTTCGCAGAAAAAATCTTTCAATAATTTTATTGAATGAATTAGAAAAGTGTATCCGCCCACGTAATCAAGATCTGAAGAAGATTAGGTAAGTTAGTATTTTTAATTATTTGAGGATATTATTTTTATGCATTGTTCTAAATGTAAGGTGGAAAGGAATTTGGTATTATTGGGAAAATTGTTATTAGCAATGATTTAGTTTAAAGTAATTAGGATTGTAAGGTAATTTTATTAATTTAATGTATGGGCTCATTTATATTTTAAGTAGTGTTTTTGAATTTAATTATATTTAATGAAATGATAGTTATTTTGTGAATTTTATGTTTGTAGGAATTTGGTATACGTTTTAGTTGAAGAAACGTGCATGGAAATAATTTAAATATCTGACACTAAGTATTTGTAATGGTTGCGGTATGAATTCGTGGTGACGTTTATAATATAATAGATGATTTAGAGGTAAACGTTTTTGGATATCTTTTATTTATTTTATATGTGGAAATGTTCATATTTGGAAAGGGTAAATACTTTTTCGCGATCAGGTAATTTCATATATGTTCTTTTACCGGGTTAAAGATTGAAAAAAATTGTCATGTATTTTCGTGAAATTTTTCTAATTTATGAGAAAAAAAGCAGTGTACATGGATATAGTGAAGAGTGTGGCGCAATGCCATTTTTGTGCAATTCTGGGATGTTTTTTAAGTAAAAATAAGTCGGCGTGTACATGGTTTATGTGTATGTGTTATTTTGAAAAACGCGTAAGGAGTATGGTATTGTGCATTTTTTCCCAATTTTGCAGTGAATATTTGTCATGATTAAGCAGTTTTTGTTTGATAAAATTTCTAGCATAAGTGTAATTCGGCTACTAGATTGTTGGAAGAAGTGTTCAGTAGATAAAAAGAAAAGAAACATGTCTTTATTTCGTGAAGACAAAATGGCGGCGGCGGGGAAAAAATAGAGGGTTGCTGTAGGAGAGGTGGTTGCCAAATTTTCGCCAAAAAATCGCCAAGTTACCATAATGTAAAGATCAACCGCTTATGTTTATGCTTCGCCTCTTGGCTAGAAAATCAAATGTCACTCTCTTTATGTTAGCAGTAAGAATAAACACATATGATAACCAGCTAAATACATAATTATCAAGAACGGCCAAAAAATATTCCTCCAAAATGCTAATTTATACTCAGAATGGCAATCATAAAGACAGACAGTAATGTCAGATGAATTAGAACCTTTTGCCAATTTTAGTTGAAATTAAGGACTTTTAAAAACCAAAAGTTGTTTCCATAAAACCTAAAGACTTTTAAGGACCATATGAACCCTGTATTAAATATGTTTTGAAATTCAATTCATAAATGTAATTAAGTTTACTTCTTCCACTTATGCAAAGTAACTTTCTTTTCAGCCATACTACAAATTGCTAAAAATATAAAAAACTGCATCACAGTGATATTTCACCATCATAATTAAAAATTACGTAAGGAAATATGAATGTAAAGTTTACGCCTGGTAAATGCGCAGTTACTTCATATAAGGTAAAATTTTATTTAGGAACACATACCCAGACCCAAGGATAGCACCATCTGGGGATTGTGTATGTCCCCAGATGTCTGATGTGCGAGCGAGAATAATTAAATACATACGCACAATATTACTGCGTTATTCAGTCTTAAATATAAGAAACTAAAAAAAAATTGCAGAATTTGATTAAATATATCAACACTATAGTAAAACATTTTTTAAGTAGAACAAATGACATCCTTTGTAAATAAAGGGCATTATCTTTTACGTGTACCTACTTGAATCTCTCCTCACATATAAAAAATTACATATTAAAAACTAATAAAAGAAATAATTTTGTCTGAAATATGAATAATATACTTCAACGCAGTAATAAGGAGAACTAGAATAAGCAGTATATCAAAAGTGATTTTACGTTTTATTTTAAACAAAATGAATAAACTAACTTACACTGGTTTCATTTTATCAGAATTACAAGTGCAAAAATCAATCTACCGAACGCCCAACTTACAGAATTACTACTGAACTCTCACATATCAAAGAAAGTCAGTAGGCGCTCAATCTCGGAACGAATTCTATTGTTTGCTGGAAGAGACCAAGATTTGTAGGTATGGTACGTGAAAGTAGGGATGAGCTAAGAGGAGAAAGGAAAAGGCATTTTGAGTATAGGGAATTTCAGTGGTTCCGGGATTGAGGGCCTACTATGAACGGGCTCCTGCTTTATGAGGATAGCTAGCGCTTCGTTAGCAAGTGTATTATTTATTATTCTTATTGATTGTCTGCTCCCCTTTTTTAGAGTTACAATTTTCTACAATACCTTAAGAAAATAAAAACTTTACAGTTACGTATTGTAACTTCATGCAATACTCTGTTACTTTACCGTAATAAGAGTTCTGATAAATATTAAATTTCGTTGGAATAAACAAAATTATGTAGTTTCGCCAAAACGTTATGCCTTTAAGCAAATTTTAAATAAGCATACTATTTTACACTGCAAACACGTATTTCTGTACGAAATATTTTTTTTTGTTTCATAAATTGATAAAAATTAATCTGTCCTTAAACAAAATGTTCAATAAAACATGGAGGATAAAAATAAGCAGTGAAACTCCTTCCACGGTTCGGAAATAAGTCAGTGAGCATATCCCTTTTTACCCTAGTACCCATTGAAAGCCATTCCACTATCTAATTATTTCCGTTGGAAAATATTCCGGAACCTTTCCTTTCTATTCCTCTCACCTGCGTATATTGAACTCGCCCAGCTAACAATAGCAGGCATTCCAAGATTGACGGTCTAGTAAAGAAAGTCTACAACACATACTCTTCGCATTTACATTTGAAATCGCGCGACACAGATGTCTTGTATTGCACTTGCACAGAAGTCTTTTTGCCCGCAAGGCAAAAAATGAAGCTTATTAGCTGGAGAGGAAAAGTATATAAAATGAAAAAATATGCAAGAAAAAAAATATATTTATTTATTACTGGCTTTATCCGCGTTGAATATGTAATATTTTGATTTTTTAAATTTTTCAATATATTATTTTAGTGTTTTTCACATTCTCTGATTCCTGACCAAGCCTGAATAAAATTTTTCAATCCTCGTTTAAAAACTTGTGTACGGCATCAGTTGTATTTCTAAAGTTTCTGTTTTAACCAAGGAAGTTAGAATAGAAGGAGGGAGGGTTCGCAGTTTCCTCCACTATCGAGGAATGAAGCTCCACGGAACAAGCGGCGTCCATGTTTGTAACTTCAAAACATTTGCTATACGGTAGTGAAACGTACGTGTTTCTCAGCTGTTAAATGCAGGGATTTTCCAGTAAAAATATCTTAAATTTATAATGAAATGTTTCGCTATTGTTAGTTTTTTTGTTTTAAAGTTATAAAGATGATACCCGTAATTTACTAAGTACAGAAAATCATTAAGAAATAGTTCGAAATCTAAATGATGTTTCTGCATAACTTCAAGAATTTGTATAGGTTTTATTATCAACTTGTGGGTATACTTTCCAATGTTTCTTTAAGAAGTGATATTTCTGATTTATTCGCAATATTATTACAATTTATTAAAGAATCACTTAGAATAATTTTTACCTGAAATTAATAGCAGATAATTATCTAAAAAAATGGTAACATGTTGCTTTTTAAATGAATGTTTTACATAGATTTTTTCACAACCAACAACCTTATATCAACAGCAATAAATATTAATAAAATAACCAGATTTATGTGAATTCATGATTTCAGTTTATGCGCGTTTCATATTTATAAATCTCAAAGAAATTACCCTGAATTAAGTGAATTACAGAAATGTACCTATATAATTTTGGATATATCTTTCCACATTTCAATTGTGTAAATATTTTACTTACGTTTATCGCAATACTGCCCAGAAATTTGTAAGCTTATGCAAAAATTTTAACAACTGAACAGTTTATCTCGATCAAATGCACAAATTATATTCGTAACAGTTCACAAAACTTAAAATGAATAATAATTAATGCATAAAGAAAGCGTTGCTTTATTTAACACTTTTACAATTCATAAAAATAGTACAACAATGATTTCTTACTTTTCATGAAAATTATGAAACTATTTACCTAAGTGTTCAAATCTACAGTTTAATTACTAGCACATGTCATTGTATGTTAAGGAACGAATTACCAGCTGTAAGCAAAAAAACATTAAAATGTATTAACATGTTTCGATTATTATTAAGTCTTTTTTTTCACATTGAAAAGAAAAACAACATGACATTGTGATATTTTTTAACATATTTATGAAATTACACACACACACACAAAAAGAAAATCAATACTTACGAGTAAACAGTAATCCCAGGAATATTTTTTGAAAATCTATTTGTGCATCCATATGCAATATAAGCTGACATGCTTCAAAAAGAAAAGGGGGGAAATGTTACAATTACAGACTTCCTTGCACAAGTCACAGTGATAACAGTAACATGGCCGCCAAGCTTCACCGTTTGAGTTGAACCTTCCCTCCTTCTATTCTAACCTCCTTGGTTTTAACCAAGAAGGTTAGAATAGAAGGAGGGAGGGTTCGCAGTTTCCTCCACTATCGGGGAATCAAACTCCACCGAACAAGCGGCGTCCATGTTTGTAACTTCAAAACATTGTATTACGGCAGTGAAACGTACGTGTTAAGCTGTTCCGTGCATGTGTTTTCCACTACAAATATGCAAAATTCATAATGAAATACTTCGCTATTGTTAGTTTTTTGTTTTAAAGTTATAAAGATGATATCCGTAATTTATTACGTACAGAAAATCATTAATAAATAGTTCGAAATCTAAGTGCATGTGCATAACATTAAAGCCTTTAAAAATAATGTTTCTGCATATTTCAAAAATTTGTTTAGGTTTTATTAGCAACCTGTTGGGTGTACTTTCCAGTTTTTCCTTTAAAAAGTGATATTTCTGATTTATCTACAATATTGTAATTTATTAAAGAATCACTTAAAATATATTTAACCTGAAATTAATAGCAATCTATCTAAAAAAATAGTCACAGGTTGCATTTTTTTTTTAATGAAAGTTTTAAATAGATTCTTTTCACAACCAACAAACTTATAACAACAAGAAAATAAATATTAATAAAATAAAACAGATTTATGTGAATTCAGTTATTTTAGTTTATGCGCGTTTCTTATTCATGAATCTCAAAGAAATTGCCCTGAATTACAGAAATATACCTATACCTATACCTATATTTTTGGATAATCTTTCCACATGTTCAGTTGTGTAAATATTTTACTTACTTTTATCGCTATACTGCCCACAAATTTGTAAATTTATGCAAAAAATTTTAACAACAGAAAAGTTAGTTTATCTTGATCAAATGCAGAAACTCTATATTCTAAACAGTTAAAAAAACTTTAAAATTAATAATAATTACTACATAAAGAAAAGCATTACTTTATTTAACACCTTTACAATTTATAAAAATAGTAACAATTGGTCTCTTACTTTTCATGAAAATTATCAAACGAATTAACTAAAACGTTCAAATTATACAGTTTAATCCTAGCATACATCATTGTATGTTAAGGAACAAAGATGCCAGCTACAAACAGAAACATTAAAATGTATTTAACATATTTTGATTTTTATTAAGTCCTTTTTTTCACATCTGTAAAGAAAACATGACATCGTGATATTTTTTACCATAGTTATCAAATTACATAAAAAAAAGAAAATCAATACTTACGCGTGAAAAGTAATCCCAGGAATCTTTTTCGAAAATCTGTTTGTGCATCCATATACAACACAAGCTGACATGCTTCAAAAAGAAAAGAAAACAAGTATTGCAATTACAAACTTCCTTGCACAAGTCACAGCGATAACAGGAACATGGCCGCCAAGCTTCACCGTTTGAGTTGAACCTTCCCTCCTTCTATTCTAACCTCCTTGGTTTTAACACGTATATACAAAAATGGAACTGTAATGCGAGTCTTGAATTAAGGATGCTTCGAAGTATCATCTGCTTCCTTCCCTTCATTGAAACCTGCAAACGTCGGTGAATATTTTCTTGTAAGCTTCATAATACTTCATAAAGTGAAATGTGCAATCTGACTAGCAATATCTTCTTCAAAATGTTAAGCACTGCTTAACAACTGTAGAAAAATCATTTCATTTAGTCGAAATGTAGCATGTATGATATTATTGCATAAATTCATAATTAAAATATTATATATTCTTGGGCAAAAAGTCATATTTCTGTAAAACGTAGTAAATTTATTCTTCGTGAAGTGTTCCTGGAATTCATGGCATGCGTGAATCGTCCATTAGATACTTCTCATGCATAATATGCATTCATATTTTTATTATCAATTGTCAGTTTGGGATAAATACACCAGAAGTCAGTGTGAAGCCTCCAAGAATTACTTAGACAAGGGTAAAATTTCTGTAAGCCGATCACTTTTACATCTATGCAGAACAGGATTAACATTGTGAGGTTTGTAGCCAGTAATATGGTATCAAGGCTGTCAACTTATAGTTGATATATGTGAAAGAAATTTGATGATAGTATATGTGAAAGATATTTGATGTCTTGGAGGTATATAACATTTTTCCAAAAAAGAAGGGATTTTTAAAAGAATCGTGTATATCGCACAAGAAAGAAGTCTTGTGTGTGAATTATGGAGCAAGATATTTAAATAAAGGGGGGATTTAAAAAAGCATATGTTGGCCCGTACAGGAGATAAACCTCATGTGTGTGAGATATTACACAGTCATATAGAGAAAAGCATAAATTAAACATGCACATACTTGTTCACACAGCAAAGAAACCTCGTGTATCAAGCGTGTAACAAATAATTAACACTGAAGCGTATCTTGAGCCAACACATGTTTATTCATACAGAAGAGAAATCTAATATGTGTGAGGTATGTAACATGTATTTAGCTGAAGAGCAATTTAAAATTTGATTAATGTATGTTAAAGACATTTAAACAAACATATGTTTACACATACAGGAGAAAAACCTCATATATCTGAGGTACGTAACAAATCATTTGAGCTAAAGGGTAATTTAAACAAACATATGCTTATTCACACAGAAGAAAATCCTGATGTGTTTTGTGAAATATGTAACAAATCATTTAGAAAAAAGTCTGATTTAAGCAAGCATAAGCATATTCACACAGGAAAGAAACCTCATATTTGTGAGGAATGTCACAAGTCATTTAGACAAGCCGGAGATCTAAAAAGGCATATGTGGATCCACACAGGAGAGAAACCCTATATGTGTGAAGTATGTTACAAATTATTTGGAAAAAAGTGTGATTTAAGTGAGCATAAGCTTATTCATACAGGAGAGAAACCTCATGTGTGTGGGGAATGTCACAAATCATTTAGACAAACAGGTGATCTAAAAAGGCACATGCGAATCCACACAGGAGAGAAACCACACATGTGCGAGGTATGTAAACAGTCATTTAAGGAAAAGGGTAAATTAAATAATCATATGCTTCTTCACACCGGAGAGAAGCCATATGTGTGTGAGGTATGTAACAAGCCATTCAGACTAAAAGGTAATTTAAATGAACATATGCTTATTCACACAGGAGAGAAACCACATGTGTGTCAGCTGTGTAAACAGTCATTTAGACAAAAGGATAATTTAAACAAGCATATGCTCATTCATACAGGAGAGAAACCTCATGTGTGTGAGGTATGTAACAAATCATTTAGGCATAAGAGTGTGTTAAACCAGCATATGTTTATTCACACAGTAGAAAATCCTAATATGTATCATATCACATCATATACACAAAAGCATGATTTAAATGAGCTTATGTTCATTCATACAGAAGCAAAACCTCATGTGTGTCAAGTATGTAACAAATCATATAGGAGAAAATTTGATTTAAGTGAGCATAAGCGTATTCACACAGGAGAGAAACCTCATGTGTGTGGAGAATGTCAGAAATCATTTAGACAAAAGGGTGATCTAAAAAGGCACATCCAGATCCATACAGGAGTGAAACCTCACATGTGTGAAGTATGTAAACAGTCATTTAAAGAAAAGGGTAAATTAAATAACCACATGCTTCTTCACACTGGAGAGAAACCATATGTGTGTGAGGTATGTAACAAATCATTCAGACTAAAAGGTAATTTAAATGAACATATGCTTATTCACACAGGAGAGAAACCACATGTGTGTCAGCTATGTAAACGGTCATTTAGACAAAAGGATAACTTAAATAAGCATATGCTTATTCATACAGGAGAGAAACCTTATATGTGTGAGGTATGTAACAGATCGTTTAGGCAGAAGAGTGTGTTAAACCAGCATATGCTAATTCACATTGAGGAGAAGCCTCATTTATGTGAGGTATGTAACAGGTCATTTAGACAGAAGGGTTGCTTAACCAACCATATGCTTATTCACACAAAAGAGAAGCCTCACATGTGTAAGATATGCAACAAGTCATTTAGACAAAAGGGTGATTTAAAAAGGCATATGCTGATCCACACAGAGAAACCTGATGTTTATTCGAGCAAGTTAGATTAAAAAAGGGTACTTACATACTATGACAACTACCTAGATATCCCGCCAAAACTGGCAATCCTTGTAGGTTATACAGGTTATAGAAGGCACTAAGATAAAGAATATTATCCCGCACTTGTTATTACCACACCTTCTTTTGCTACATTTACGCAGATTATGTTTAGGTTAAACACGGGAAACTTTTTGTAGCAGATTATGTTTAGGTTAAACACGGGAACTTTTTGTAATTATTATTTTCCCAATGGATATCAACATTTTGCAACTTCCTTCAAACGAACAGGAAGCGATAGAATTTTTCAGAGGCTGGAATTCTACCCATAGAACGCATTTGTTTGGCCATGATGTGAAGTTTTATAATTTGTATATATATTCGGGATTTTTGGTTCTTAAGTTTTTGTTCCTTTATAATTAGGGCTTTAATTTTTAAAAGAATTTATAAACATAAACCAAAAAAACGGCAATGGAGATCTTTATAGCCACATGTTGCCAATGTAGTCATCATAATACATAAATACCAAAAGTAAGGACTTGTTGATACAGCAAAAAAGAAAAAAAATCCTCATTATATGATGTATGTAACTATTCATTTCATGTAAGCTTTTAATAAACCATTTGTTTCCATAAGAAGAAAAGGTACTATTCCGTTTTAAGGACTGTAAAAAATTGCAGCGAAAATGTATGAGCAAAAGCGCCAAATCTAGCAAACGCGCCCATCTAACAGCGCGCCAAATCTAGCATATGCGCAGATTTCAGATTACGTAAGTTTATATAGTTCTATATTTCTTAACACGCCATTGAAATACTAGTTTTATTTTTAAATCATTTTTTAATATCCTATGGATTTAACAATTTGGGAATTGCTCATGACGAAAAGTCAGTCTGCAATAGAATTTTGGGTACAGTGCAGAATCACCCACTGCTTGACGCGTTTTTAAGAATTGCACATACTCAGTATCCATGTACACATCGCCCTATTTTCAATTTAAAAAAAAAAAAATCCTAGAATTGCGCAAAAATGGCACTGTGCACACCCTTGACTTTATCTACGTACACATCGACCTATTTTTACTTAAAAAGTATCAAATCCAGTTTGTATGACAAAAATCCAGTTGTTTTTACCCTTGTGAAAAGCGGCAAACAAATAAGTGGGCGATTCTGCACTAACAGAGAATTTTTTCATAAAAGGCATCATTCATATAGAAAATTATGTTTGAACAACCAAGAGATGAAATTATGCTTTCTCGATAACGAAATAGTGATGCAGGCATCCATTCAGTAACGTTTAGCAATTTTTATTAATTATAATAATGATGAAATAGTTTTTACTCTTATGCTTTCATTCGTCATGTTAGCCTTTTTTATATAGATATAATAATAAAATGTATTATATGAAATTAACCTTTCATCTAAATTAAAACATCAATCTTATATAGTTATATACTACTATTATACTTCCTTTCTTGCGTTAGGATTGCCATAATTATTTTTGGCAGCACTGGCATCAATAATAGTTTGGCGATTTTTTACGCCGCTCAAAACCGAATAGTACCGAAAAAAACTTGTATGCAAAATAAAATAAATCGCAAGCCATTTTAAAGAAATGCTGCATTAAAGCAATGAATGATAGTCTTAAAGTAACATATACTTAGACTGACTGAAATGTTTTTAGATAGATTCTTTTATTCACAAGCAGACAGACTCATAGCTAGGGTTTTCAGCGCCCAAGGACAGCTGGAGATTTCGCGCCCCCTACTGCTTGCCAAGGACGGAAAACATTTAATTTTAAAATGTCGTAACATCAGTTTGGCGCCCCTTGGATCCTGCGCCCGGGGACAGATGCCCCCCTCTAGCTACGCCCCTGCAAGCAGATGATTTTATTGGCCTAATATCTGCCCATCTCCAAATATGAATCAGTTGCACTTTTAAAAGGTATATTTTAAAATGAACAAAGATGTGAAATGCCGTTGGCGTGTTATTTCTCGCTTTCTTGTCAAAGTTGAAACTCTCTCACTATCCTAGTTTTAAGAAATTGATTTTTGAATTGTGCTACCAGTGCCTTTGATACAGTATGGAGCTTGAATTGTCTCTGATAAAAATGAAAGTTTTTGGAGCAAATATATATATATATATATATTTCTTTTTAGTCCAAAGGGGCATTGACCCTGAAGAACTATTGTTTTTGTTATGCATCAGAACCCTATAAACGGCGTATCACTTTTCTAATTGTTGCCATCAAATACTATCACCCTGTGTTATATTTGAAGAAATTAAATCATGAAGAATCTGCGTAAATGTATGTATGTTTCTTGCGCTGTGATAAAACAGTGGTACCTAGAGCCATCAATTTTGAATGACATAATCCTACTATGAATATGGACATCTGAAAGCCCAAATTTCAAATTTGTTTTATTATCGATTTCATATTTTGTAAAACGTTAATGAATTTTTGATTGACAAACTCAATGATTTCAAAGCGAGCAATGGCAATGTTGTACAGAAAAAACATATAACAAATTCTGAAGTTATGCTTAATTTAAAACTATTTTGTGATATTGTTCTTGAACTGAATTTTATGGTTTAAGTGAGAAAAACGTGATATTTAATAAATAAAGGTAACAGATAAAATGTTTAAAAAATGACCCTTTGGATGTAATTTAAAGTCTGAAACCTTTCAATTTTTTTCTTTTCTTTTTTTTTTTTACTTTCTTTTGGCTTCAAGCTTATGTTTTTATATAGTAGGCACTCTTCTTTGTCTATCCTTGAGTCTTTAGTCCTTACCAGAATATGCTATGTGGATCACTTTCATTTCATCCCCTTGAAATACTACTTCTAAAATTCTGAAGCAAGGCACTGTAGCTTGACTGCTTCAGAGCATGATACAGAATTTATTAATGGATCTGTGAAGAGTCGTATACCGTATTTGATGGCTTATAAGATACACTGGCATATAAGACGCACCCTTATTTATCTTTATTTATTATTATTACCCTTATTATTTTAAGGCCACAGACAAGGAAAAAATGTTTCAATAGACAGTGCGGTGCCACAATAACTTAATATGTGGTTTCTTTTAGTTCTCACGTTTCATAAAAGCCAAATAAATAATTATTGAATGCAATTACCAAACATATTTTTATTAGGGAAAATTAACAAACGGCAAGCTATTTTAAACATGATATGTAGATTTCAATAATGAATAAATGAATGAACGGCAAGCAATCA